ATAACTCACTCACGAAATGGGCGACAGATTTTAAGACTCCGATATGAAATAGGGGGGACATCGAATGATGGTCGACGCCGTTTTTCGGATTTTCCAACCATCGGTGGGGACATTATTTACCAAACTGCGGTGGTAACCATATGGCCTCTTCCAAGTTCTGCCAAGTGTGGAAACGCGAATCCGAGATACTAAAGATCAAACACAAAGAAAATATCTCCTTTCACGAAGCAAAGAAGAGGGTTGCAAGTTTAACTGCAGCCCCTTCAACCATCACCTACTCTTCTGCTGTCTCCCGTCCTACCATCACTACTGCAACCATCTCATGTCAGACCGACCTGACAAGGGTCACGTCTTCTCAGCCAACTGAACTCAACACAACTCAGCCTATCTCAGCCACTCCATCTCCAACGCCAAAACTTCTGAATCACAAACACCAGAACAAATGCCAAAACCAGAAACAGAAACTGCGCGCAGAAAAAGGGAAAGAAAGAGGCTAGAGAGACTAAAACAACTTGAACAACTGCCAAACACAAAACCAAAGGCCACCTCTCCTTCAGAGGTCCCCATCGAGGTCCATAACTCCTTTGGCCCTCTGGATATGGAGGTAACTCCAACTCCACCTGACACCAATAGGAGTTCATCTAACGCTTTCTCACGTTCACGTGACATGTCACCAGTGGAAGCACCATGAATCCACAAAACATGATCCAATGGAATTGCAGCGGACTTAAGAATAATTATAATGAATTACAGTTATTGATTCAAGACTTCAAACCATCCGCGTTTTGTCTTCAAGAAACCTACCTAAAAATAAATTTGACATCCGTCGGTACAGTTCCTACAACTCCTTTTCTCCTCCCGGTGTAAAAGCTACAGGAGGCACTTCTATCCTGGTGAGGCAGGGCATCCTTCATAGCCCTGTTCCACTTAAAACCAACCTACAAACTGTTGCTGTCCGCATGACTCTGAACATAGGGTTTACACTATGTTCCCTCTATCTCCCTCCCACCTCAACTGTACGCCTATCAGATCTTCAGAACTTATATGATCAACTCCCGAAGCCCTGCATAATCATGGGCGACTTCAACGGCCATAACCCCCTATGGGGGGAGTACTGATACAAATAGTAAGGGAAAGGTACTTGAAGAGTTTCTCTCAAATAATGATATATGCATCTTCAACGATGGATCAAACACCTACCTCCATCCTGCCACTGGATCATACTCTGCTCTCAATCTATCACTTACAGATTCTAATCTTTTAAATGAGTTCGAATGGTCGGTCCATGACCACCTTTGTGGAAGCGACCACTTCCCAACAATTCTTACTCCTATCAACCCCACGGATGAACTAAGGCCAATTGGCCTTTATTCCCAACCCTATGTTCAGAAAAACTTAAGCCGGACAACTTCAGGAATGTTCCTGACCCCATGGAACTATTTTCAGACGTCCTAAATGCCATCGGAGACAAAAGTATTCCTAAGTCCTCTGCAAACCCGCACATACGCAAACCATGGTTTGATACAAACTGCAAACAAGCTAGGAAAAATAGGAAGAAGGCGGAAAAATATTTCCGACAACATCCTACAGTGCATAACCTGAATGCTGTTAAAATGACAAATGCCAGGGCAAAACGTACCTTCAAACAAACTAAACGCCGGTCATGGAGGAAATATGTGTCAAAAATCAACTCCCGCACACCCATGTCCAAGGTGTGGAACATGATTCAAAAGATCAAGGGCAAAGGGTCAAAATCAGGAGTTCACCACCTGAAAGATGGTGACTCCCTTCTAACAAATAAATCTGAAATTGCAAACAAACTTGGCGAAACTTTGGCAAACCACTCCTCCTCATCAAATTATAACCCTCAGTTCCAGAAATATCAAACCCAAGAAGAAAAGAAACCAGTCAATTTTAACTCTGATAATGGGGAGGATTACAATGAAACGTTTTCCCTCCATGAATTACGTACTGCCCTAGGACAGGCTCACGACACTGCGGCAGGAGCTGATGAAATCCATTATCAGCTTCTGAAACACCTCCCTGACACAGGCTTGGAAACACTCCTAAATATATTTGATGACATCTGGACATCCGGACACTTTCCCCCTTCGTGGCACAATGCCATTATCATCCCTATACCAAAACCCGGTCGCGATCAAACTGATCCCTCAAACTACCGTCCTATATCACTAACTAGCTGCGTTTGCAAAACCATGGAGCGCATGGTCAACAATCGATTAATCTGGTACTTGGAGACCAATAACCTCCTCAGTGACCTCCAATGTGGTTTCCGAAAAAACCGAAGTACCATTGACCATCTGGTGCGTCTGGAATCATTCATCAAAAACTCCATTGTCAACAAACAACATGCAGAATCTATCTTTTTCGACTTAGAAAAAGCATATGATACAACGTGGAAACATGGTATCCTAAAAGATTTACACGAGTTTGGATTGAGGGGTAGACTACCTCAATTCATATCTCGGTTTTTAAATAACAGACAATTTCAAGTTCGGGTGGGTTCCACACTGTCTGACTATTTCCACCAAGATCAGGGCGTCCCCCAAGGCAGCATCCTTTCTGTCACACTTTTTAGCATAAAAATTTACAGCGTCACTAACGTTCTGAACAGTTGCGTTGATGGGTCCCTTTTCGTGGATGACTTCAATATTTCATGTTGTGGTAAGAACATGCAAGCAATAGAAAGGCAGCTACAACTCTGCCTTAACAAAATCCAAAAATGGGCCAATGTAAATGGTTTTAAGTTTTCAAAATCCAAAACAAATTCTATTCACTTTTGTCGTAAATACAAACCACACAAGGATTCAGACCTAACTTTAGATGGTACTCCCATCAAGGTAGTAGAAGAGGCCAAATTGCTTGGACTCATATTCGACCGCCACCTGACATTCTTACCACACATAAAAAAACAAAGTGCTTGAAGGCTCTACACTTGCTGAAAGTAGTTTCAAATACAGAATGGGGAAGGGATCAGACCACCCTTCTTCACTTGTACAGATCATTAGTTCGCAGTAAACTAGATTATGGCTCCATTGTCTACGGTGGAGCCTGCAAAAGCAATTTAGAAAAATTAGACTCTATCCACCACCAAGGGCTGAGGCTCTGCCTGGGAGCTTTTAGGACCTCTCCGGTAGACAGTCTATATGCGGAGGCCAATGAACCTTCCCTTGAACAACGCCGCATTAAACTCTCACTGCAGTATATCACTAGCTACGTTCAAATGAGTCCAATCCAGCATACAATTGTGTTTTCAACCCGCTCTATGAAAACCTATTTCCTAAACTGCCAAGCCTGGTTCCACCACTTGGAATCAGGATCAAACCACACATATCTGCAGCTAAAATTGATCTCAACATCATTGCACCATACCGACTTCTGTCCTCACCACCATGGCAAATGGTGAAACCACAGGTCGTTCTTACCCTCACCAAACTCAAAAAGTCTGAAACAAATCCCTTGGTGTTCCAACAGGAATACAACCAGCTACGTTCGAAGTATAACACTCACAGATCCATTTTCACAGACGGATCCAAGGACGATGGCCAAGTTGCCAGCGCTACAGTCATTGGAGCCAAGACTGTCTCCTCTAGGATCCCCGACAACAGTTCCATTTTCACCGCTGAAGCCAAAGCTATCTACTCAGCTTTGACCTACATTCAACAGCAAAATCATTCCAAAAACTTCATCGTATTTACAGATTCACTATCCTGCCTTCAAGCACTTCTAAACGTGACCCAAAGTCACCCAATCATCCTGGATATATTAGAACTGTACAACGACCTTTCTACTGGCCAATGTGACAGCATCCTCTGTTGGTTGCCGGGTCACGTCGGCATAGCAGGTAACACTAAGGCCGATGCTGCAGCTAAAGCAGCTCTTGAAAAGCCCCTTTCTCCACTGCTAATCCCGTACAGTGATTTCAAACCCACTATCAAAAGCTATACTCGGGACCTGATGCAAAAAAGGTGGGACACTCAAGTAGGAAGAAACAAACTCCATGAATTGAAGCCAACAATCGGTTATACCTACTTGGGTTGCCAGTCAAGACGTGATGAGGTAATTTTACGACGATGTCGTATTGGCCACAGTCGGTTTACACATGACTATCTGCTAAAAACGGATGGGGATGGACCCCCCATATGTCTCTCCTGCGATGAGGCTTTCACCGTCAAACATATTCTGCTTGACTGTGTGGACTTTACATCTACAAGGGACTCGCATTATCACGCAACCAATCTGAAAGATCTGTTCTCCAGCGTGAGCGCTCATCTGATACTGAACTACCTGAGGGAAGTTGATCTATGTCATATAATGTAACTGTGTAATGTCACTAACGAATTTACCTGCTTTTCAATTTAGTGCTATGACATTCTCTGTTCTAAAAAGACAATGTAATGAATGTATGTCTTTGAAACGAAACCACTTTGAACTTACAATGTATATTAATGCAGACTTGTTCTCGTCACTATATGGCTGGAATAATGCCGATATGACGTAAAGCCCAACTCAACTCAACTCACATTATTTATGTCAAGTAATGCCATAAGAGGAAGTGATGCAGAATCTCCATTTTGTATACTAGTGCAGCTCTGTGGAATGACTTCCACTGTATGTCAGGAATAAACCATACTTCGGGTGTTTTTAAAGGAAGTTGGACTCGAGTGCTTTTGGACAGTGTGGTTCTCATGTTTCATTTCTTGCATCATTCGAGAGTTGGATCCTGCACTGATAAATATATTACTCACCAAAACGTGTATTCTCAGTAGTTTGCAAGGAGGAGGGTGTATATATATATATATATATATATATATATATTTCAGGAGGTGGGTATGAAACTCAGTATCAGAATATCAATTATATAATGATAATCATAAGCATTACTCTGATATCGTCGCGAGGGCCTTATATCACAAAAACTATATCAAGAACATTATCCAACCCTTGCTACAATGCAGTGATCACACAAATGTACTCACGTGGCAACTATTGGTACTTTTGCGTAGTTCATCTCCAGTACGTAAGGAAAACGTGTTTTCATCAGCCATCCAGTGAGGGTTATTCCAGCAGATGCAACACCGATAGATACACCCAAAGAAGCTTCGACTTTTCCGGCAACAAATGGACCTATGCTTGTCTAATGTATAACAGAACAACAAAACATGTATCATTGTTATGTTCAATGTTTGTAGTAACATAATGTTGGTTCAGAGAACCACTATGTTATTTGTTGCACTTAATCCAACGAGGCAGCGAGACGGTTCATGGGAGCTCATGTCTGTGAGTACAAGGTATGAAGCCCATTTCCAGTCATTGTGTAATGTGTCTACCCATTTTGCTTATTGTTCAACTTGTCTTAATGTCATGCACTGAAAGTCTCCTGAGAATGAGTATGGCCATCTACCTTCATTTGCTGGGGATCTATAGCCCATTTTTATTTTGTATAGTTCTCTATAATAATATTTGTTTATGTTTACCTGCTAGTTTTACATTCTCTGTGATACTCTAGTATTTTTACTATTCTTCGTGAACAGGTTTTTTAATTCATAAATTTATTGATGATAATTGATTGTTATCGTCACGATATGGCTGAAATATTGCCGATGTGACGATAAATATTAACACACTCGCTCTCCTAAGAATGGTAGTTTCCCCTTTTCACTACACAAAGTATCTTTACATGCGATTTGGTATTTTACTTACTGACACTGATGATTTCACAGTCTGTACATCCACAGAAAACTCTACTCCAAGTTCTGCTCCAGCATCGAAAGCTGCAAGGAAAACGGTTATGACCATTTCAAAAATATATCATCAAAACAGACACTTAAAGGAAGTGCATAATAACTCAGATAATAGAAGAATGTTATAATCAATTATTACTTCGCTTCCAGAATTCCTAAAAACTACATGCCCTATTCAGTCATTGTCATGTGAAAGCACCTTCGGTTGAATGACTTTGACCTCAGCCATGACCTATGAAAACATTGAAGCATAAGTGTTGCTACAATATTTCTATAATATTCTGTGAATACAGCCAGAATATACAATCTGGAAATACATGCATGTTAGTTTGTGAAAGATCTAGATATGAACATGACAAAAGTGTTGTTATGTATGAACACTATATTGAACATTCGGGTTTATTTTGGATACATAAATGTTCCAGTACATGTTTAACGATAAGGTGACGTTGGTTGTCATTTCAGGTACAAGAGAAGATGGCAAATATCCTAGCCCTTACAAAATTTGAAAGAAAACAATCATTTGAGAGTTACTTAAAGTCCAACTTTATGAGAGAATTTCTGTCTAATCTTTATGTCCGCATGCAAGAATAGTTATTGACCTATAAAAACAATAACGTGAACTTAGGGTTAATATCTTTGTACTTCTGTGTCAAGAATACACAGGAAAAAATACAAATTTTGAAAATCCCGATTAGCACAATGCAGCAGTTGACAACCTTGGTTTTGTTTACGGACGTTTCATGAAATAGTACAAAGTTTCAAAAGTATGAATCAAAATCAAACTTGGAAATTGAAACGGACAAAACATAAGATCCTAACAATCCAAGGAGCATGGGCACCATTTACCAACCCGGTCTTCGTGTGCGCACAGTTTCATGAAAGAATACCAATTAGTTTTACAGATAATGGTCTGAGAAACACATTACTATGGACAGAGTCATACGTATTGCCATGGAAACAGGAAACAAATTCATTTCTTTGAAATTCCTAAATAGCAAAAGGCGCCATTGGTTACTGCGTGTAGCAGGTTGGGATGGAAAGTCTTTGAAGTTTTCGAGCGGTGCCCGGAAACAAAATCCAACCCCCTCAATCTTGAAAGCAATCCAAATTGTTTCCAGGAAAATTAAACTGTCAAAAGTCTGCAAATAGCAGTAGTCACCACTTCGGGATCTGCTTTATATATTGGCCAGGTATTGTTGAAACATATTGAACGGTTTTTGAGTTGTGCTCCGGAAACAAAATGATTATGGACTGACCTCCAGACAGAGGAGCCGCTGTCTACACACACCCGCATTACACGCCTCGGGATAAGAATGGACATTTGGCACAGGTTGTCGGTGTTTCAGTTAAGCACTTTAGGAAAGTATGACAATCCGATCTTTACCTTATTTGGTGTTCAATTCAGGGTTGGTTTGATCCAGAACCCATGAGATGGTTTATATTGAGTATATTTTCTGTGATAAATACTCACGTCATTAAAATGATCAAAATACCCATGGAATGTTTCTGTTTGGACGTGATTGTTATAATAAACACTTAACATGCCTTTGTATGTGTTTATGATGGGATGCACTTAATTTCTTTGTTTGTTGAGGTTTCATTTTTTTGTTTTTGCTGTTTGTCCGTTTTTTGGCGAGCTTCTGGTTTCTTAGATATTTGCGTTCAGGTAATGGACATGGTTTATCTTATATTTCCATCTATTTCATATGGAGTGACCGTGACCTTTAATGTGACCCAGTCATATGTCCGAAATATTTATAAAGCCTATCATCAGAGAGGTGGTGGCCTTATATGCCTTGAACTTCTTTCATAAAAGTTTGGTTGAGAAAACCGATTCTTTGATGCGGCGGCAGAACTAACATATGAGCAAACAGTGTTGCTATACCACTATTAAGCCTAGTTGTTATTATGTTGAATAAGAAACAGCCTACACAGCAAAAAAAACTTAGTTTCCATTCTTGCGGAAACCTAGTGGGTATTGGGTAAAGTAGGTTTCCGCTAGGTTTTAGTATACGGAAACAGACAATGAGAGTTTCCGCATAGTTTACAAAACGGAAACTAACAAATCTAGGTTTCCGTCAAGTTTCTACAACTGAAACTATCATTATGCGTTTCCATTTAGTTTCAATTCATAGCAAAATGACTTAGTTTCCGCTGTTGCGGATACTTGATAATGTAGGTTTCCCCTAGGTTTCTGTACCCGGAAACTGACAAGTCTGTTGGTTTCAGTTTAGATGAAACTTAGCTTTGTGCTGTTCGATTGGGGGACTATATTTCCTTACTGTTACATTTGCAGGATAGTTTATATATAAAGAATTCAGCTAGGGTCCATGCAGGAAGCAAAAGTACTGTAGGTTCACGTAGTCCCTAGTATACTGAACAGCAAAAGAAACGCAAGTTTCGAAAAAATGAAATCTCATGAAGGTAAGCGTTCATGTTTATGGAACGTTCATGGTAAAGTGCCGTAATGATCCCAGATGAAATGATGTCATGCAATTTGACGTCCATACGAAACATTCGCACAAACACACCAACAGTGCAGCAAAACCATAATTTTAGCACGTGCATCGACGGTTATGGATGAAAAGCATGCATTTCACTCTGAGGTATCCTTTATAACGGTTTGTGTCTAAAACCAGTTCAGTATTGACGCTAGGAGGTTTACACGCCACACAAACGATGCCTAGACTAACGACTGAGCAGAGGGGAATGGCCACTGGAAAGTTACACGGAGGTAGCACTGCAACCGCTGTAGCTAGACAATTGGGCTGTCATCTTACCACCATTACACGACTTGCTCAACGTCATCAGCAAAGCGGGTTGCTGCTGATCGTCCCGGTACCGGACGGCAACGAGTGACAACTCATGCGCAAGATCGGTTCATCCGGGTCACTCATCTAAGGAACCGAACTCAAGCAGCAACAGTAACAGCAGCCTTTGTTCTTGGGTCAATGGGAGCAGTGCCAAGCGATACGATTAGGCGTCGTCTTCGGGCTGCTGGAATCCACTGCCGAAGGCCATATGTGGGGCCAATTGTGGCACGTCAACAACGCCAGCGACGTTTGCAGCTCTCACACAGCAAGGGTGTCGATGGATTATCTGGCTCAGAACAACATTAACGTTTCTTTCCCCGGATATGGCTCCCATTGGACATTCTGGGACGAAATTGGACGGAGGATTGCTGCAGGTAGACAGCCAATCACACTTGCACAGTTGGAATAGAGATTGGTGTTTGAGCGGAACCAGTTGCCTCAGGCATTCTTTCAGACTCTAGTGAACTCAATGGGGCCACGTTGCACGGCCTGTGTGCAAGCTCAAGGTGGCTATACGCGCTACTAAAGAGACTGTCGCTTTTCGCGTTCAGGGGTATCTCCATTTGACGGACTGTGATCAATTTGAACTTATTGCAATTCAATGTCAACAGCAACCTTTAGCTGTTACATTGACAGTGTTTTCTATAGAATAAATGATTAGACATAATTTGGGTTGTCTTCTATTCAAAAACTTGACAAAAATCCAGACTTGCGTTTCTTTTGCTGTTCAGTATATGTTGATCAACCTTCAGGCGTTGCCAATCTATAGCCCATTTTTATACTGTACTGTTAAAGTGTCTATGGTTATATGCTAGTTTTTAGTGTACATTGGTGATAGACTAGTTATTTTACAGTCCTTCGCAGACAGCTAAGTGTATAAGTTTGTTTTTATTTCATGTACACATTTACAAATTTAAATTTCCGACCTTCATAGTCACGATTCGGTTGCCGATGAGACTTTTAGCTAATTCACACACAATACCATTTTGGAAAGTGGTCAAATGTAACATATGTTATATTTGGGATCACACTTTCTCAGTTAAATACAGATTCTAGGACTTGAGTCTTGGATTAGGTGCCTGACACTGAGGGTGTGGGTTCGATTCTCCGATGCAACTCAACACAAAAAAAAGGACTATAATCTGTATTTTACTGAGAATGTGTAATCCCAAATATAACATTATGTCACTCACTCACCATTCTGCAAAACTTGTGAATGTTCCATTTATTACATTTTACATGAAAAAAACAACAAACACAGTAACACTGTCACTGTTATGATTCATCTGTTTCATTATTTTAAATAGCTCACATTTCAATAGACCTCAACCAAAAATTCAAAGCTGTATGTGTATGTGTGTGTGTGTGTGTGTGTGTGTGTGTGTGTGTGTGTGTGTGTGTGTGTGTGTGAGAGAGAGAGAAGCCACATCAAGAGGGAATCTTCAGCATTTGAGAACACAACTTTTGTATAAATATGCAAATAATCAATATGTCAAACCCTTACAACCTTTTATGCTTACAATAAAATGGGGTCAACTAGTGCTGGCATAACATACTTGCTGTGGTATTTATAAACAGATTTCAAATGCAAATGTTTATTGTATGAAAGGTCATAGGCCCAAATACATGTGCATTTGAAGCTGCCTCAATGTATCTCAACATATACACACTAACAATCACACAAAGTAAAGACTTGGCAACTTGCTGACAATCATGAAGCTTCTGTTGCACTCATACTGAGCAGGCAGCCATCTTCTGATCTCGTCCATATGAAGCAGAGCCAAAGTTGAGACATTTGTTTTGTCCCACAGAGAAAGGGGAAATATAACCAAGTTGATCACCGCATGGCTTGAACCAGTCCACAACCGCAAACAGATTATTTCATTTTAATTACCCATACTGTTTCCACCATGGTATTTCCCCATCACATCGAAATGATGGTGTGGACTTTTCCATTCCTCTCTTTTACATGTTTTCTTTCTTTTCTCTACTTTTGTAAAAACATCTTATTTGACTTTATTGGATGCTTTTACTCTCCCCCAGTTGACTCTGACATCTATTTGCAAACTTATATGTGGAAACAAATGACATTTTGTGTGTATTTAAAACAAGTACATGATGGTTTTGCTGCGCATCTACCCGCTGCCTACAATAGAATGTTTGAATGTATAGATGCCGGTTGACATCAGTCAGTACAGACAGGCAGTGGGGACA